AACCCATCCATTTTTGTTTTCTCATACCATCAATAAGCATGCCAACCAAATTTACAATCATGACCTTCACCCATTCTTTTCTTCATCTTCTTGCTTGAGGTGTCCACCTCTGTAACTTTCTTAGCCACCAGCTCCACTTTTTTTTCCATTTCTGCCAGCTGATGCTGTTGTAAAGTGAAGTTTTGATTTAACGAGGTCAGTTGCTGGTTAATACCATCGAGCTGATTCATCACTGGCTTGAGCATATCCGCTAACATGACTTCAGCTCCCTCGTCGGACCTCGGACTCTGGCTTCCCGGCTTGGCTTTAAACTTTCCTCGAGGCGCCGCCATTTTTCAACTTTGTTTACACTTTCAAGCCGCTTCTCCTGGGCTCAAAGTACTCGTCAATTCGCTTTTTGCATTCAAGTAAGACTCTCAAAATACACACACTGTCTTTTTCCTCCCACTCCCCCTTCGCTGTGATTTATCTGTCCATGTCCCTCTTTGCGCTCCGCTTTTCCCGGGGGTGTGTGCTGTTTATCAAAGTTCATTTACTTAGAACTCACGTTCATTGTTGGTCATCTTGCTGACCTTGCTCATATCAATCGTTGTTCCGCTCAGCCTCCCCCGCTTGTCCCGGTCGGGTTAGCTTGTGCCCTAAGGCCACTCATCGGCAGGACCATCAGAGCGGAGGGAAGCCTCAATTCTCCGGCAGCAAGCCGTCAAAGAGGCTATCCCTCAAAAGCTCTCTGGCCTGGAGCCTTTCACAAAGGCTCCGTGGGAGTGCCACTTGAGGTGGCACCCCTCCATGCTGATGGTGTGCTAATCGCATCCTCAAGCTCTGGGGAGAGTGACTGCCATCACCAATCCATAGACCGGAAGTCTCTGATGTCTCCCTTCTTGTATTAACATCCACAGATTACTGTTTAACAAAAGTGTCTGTAGAGGACTGCGATCCTGCCCTACAAATTCAGGGAACAGAATGCCTCATCAGAAGGCAGTGGATGTTGCTTGAGCCCTCATGGAGCCTGCCTGTATGTGTAAAGGACACCACACCAATGCCAGCTCATAGGTTCTCTTGACAGTAGAGACACCGTCTGAGCAAATGCAGCTTTTCCTTTCAAGGGATCAGCAAAGCAGAGAAACAAATGTCGGACCTTTCTGAATTCACTTGTTCTCCTTAAATAAAATAGGGCACATTTTACATCTAATGTGTGTAGCTGTCTTTCAGCTGCAGATGATAGGAGCAGGAAAAAAGTAGGAAGTTAAGTGTCCTGGCTTAAGTGGAATCTAGAAACCACTTTTGGTAAAAAGCAAACACTGGGTCTTAAAACCACATTTTACTCATGAAACTTTATAAAAGGGTAGTCAACCCTTAGGGCTGTAATTTCTCCTACTCTCCTGGCAGATATAATAACAACTAG